TGGATATAATAAGATAGTATAAGAGATATACGTATCGTATATACGAATCGTCGCAAGATGTTGCACAAAAATTAGCATAATTACAAAGCGTACTTGCGCTTATTTGTATGTAAGTGCGTTTGCATTTACATTTAAGTTTGATTATTTTTAATGGGGCAAATCGAAACAAAACGAATGCACCTTATTAATAAGAGAACTATGTTTTTTCAATGTCTAGTGATACGTATGACAAGCATACGTAAATTAGTAAGTCAAGTCAAATGAATGAATTCAGATGTAAAGCTCGTTGTCTCTCTTTCGAGCATCTTTGTTTCCGATACACTCAATTTTCATTTGCTCTAGATAATTGTTTCAGATAAAGAAGAACGTCAAGAGTCGACATACATACATGTGCACAAGTGTTATATGTATAGCATTAGATATAAGTCTATCAGTTACTATAAATTGTAAATTTGATATTGGTACCGAAAATATTTCTCGTATTTTACGTGAAAATGTGAAAGTAACACGTTTGGAATATGAAATCAAACTTTTTGCGTTCTTTAATTTAATGAATAATTACTATCATTCTCTCTCTCACACACATACACACAGAAAACAATAAAAATTTAGCTATAACTATTACAAGAGATAAATATGTCAGTGCAAAAATACAATAAATTATACTGAGCTTGAAGATTGATATATTATTATATAAAAAGATATTAGTATTACTGCATCGATCATAATTAGGTATTAGTCAAAAATTTTTATTAAAAATACTCTTTTTTACATTTTTTATCACATAGAAAATCTCACGATATTGCACAATCGATTCCTTATAAAATTCTTAAATTATTATATGTAAAATATCAGGGCAATAAAAATGATAAATTGTTGTTAAAAATATTATGTTTTTATGATAATATGAGAGAATATAAAAACAAATTAAAAAACTTGATGTTCCTAGTGCTAGGTAATAAAAATATGATTGCAAAAATTTTTATTTAGTTTAATCTCGAATATTTTAAAATTTTGATTAATACTATTTTAATTCAGAGATCAACATTCGAAAACAACAAAATTATTTTATCATAACTGTTTTGTTTCTACATGTATCTTTACTATTATTGACGAAATATGCAATGTTGTTTACAAAAGTAAGCGATTAAAATAAATAATCGCTAAATATAATTTAAATTATACTTGATAATTAATTATTATACATGTATCATTCGTGTAATGTATAATTGTTAAATCGCTAAATGTATATTACAAAGTGGTTTTAAAGTGCTATTGATATAGCAAATTATAGTTTTTAAGTACGTATTAGCATATAACAATAATATAATTAACTTTATATAAATACGTTTATATTATTTTTTGACTCACGTTTTATCCAATCGAAAGCTACTATCACATGTATACACGACATGACGTGTAAAATTGAGACTATACGTTTTTAAATTTTTTGTGAAATACATGAATAGAGAAGGAATGTGAAAGAGAAGCAGTATGTAGATATTTTTTCGTAAACTCAGATATATTTTAACTTCAGCTTGCTTTTAGCATAAACGTTTCAAGGAAGACAAATACAACTGTAACGCGGAAATCTTGAATGTAATCGCTTATTTGTGCTCGGTACAAATCCTAATCGTACAATCAGTGATCGACGATATTGTATACATACAATTACACGCGTGACAGTTGCGCTCACGTGCACATACAGTTGCACGCAACATACACGTACATTATATATGTAAGGAACGTGCTGATACTTACAAGATTAACAGTAAATTAAAAAAATATTTGCACACTCCGTCATTATTTTGGATAATTTTAAAGAGAGAAAGAATTAAGAAACATTATCTTTTCTTATTTTGTCTAAGATAAAATATATTCATAAATATACTTTATAATTTTTAATGCTCATAATGGTATTGTTGTATTTAAAAAAGACGAATGTGCAATTTGTTTTTGTTCACTTTTAATCAACTGTTATGCGCAACTAGTACTCTATATAGCGAATGTTGCGTATAGCGTAAAATGAATACGCTCGTATTTGTATGTTGAATATATACCTGACATTGACTATAAATGTAGATACGTTTACACATCGTGTATTGCTGTGATTAATACATAGACCTAGGCGATGTTATACGTTAGACTATAATTAATGTGAAATGAGATAAAGACAGTCAAAGCTGTCGACTGTTAGATGTGCATATGTAATTGCATTTTTATTTGGAAAGTACATCCATAGTCGCCCGTTTGCAATTTTACATTTCTATCACATGAGCATTTCGGGCGCGAAAAATCTAAAAACATTTAGAATTCTCTACTTCCGCAATACAATATTATCATTGATGTCCACCGATTATGCAATAATGACTAATGTTCAGCACACAAATTTATTTATTGATCTTAAACTTTGAATGCCACATTGCTGTGTAGCCGCATTCTGAAACAAAATTTATTTTGTCCCTCGGCAGAAATTTATCTTTAAAAGCAAACATAGTTGTTGCAATTCATTGTCATTGCTCATTGATGTTTCACTGCGCGTGATTAACTTAACGCTAAAATGTACTGTAAGAAGGAACAATATTATCTTTGAAGTCACCTTTGATTTATCAATTATTCAAACATAATATTATTTAAATGTTACTGAAGAAATAGTTATTCGAGACATTATAATGAGAATATGTAGAAATTATTACGACTTCATTGTAAGAAATTTACATAGCACGAGAGAGAATATTATTATATTAATGAATATTATTATATTAGATGAGGTCTCCGTTCTAATAGTAAAATAGAATCTTTTAAAGCCAGAAATACATAGAAAAATATAAGGCAGTAAGATGTAAGCAATAAGCGAATCGACCGAAATCACAGCCGAAAATATAAAGCAATAATTTTGGTTCTCTACTGTAATTGATCGAATCGCTCTTACTGCTTACGTCTTATTGTTTTGTATACGATATGGGCTTAAGTACTATTATTTCCAAAAATACAAATACGAATTTACATTGTAATAATTAAGGCTCATTTTATATAAACAAATTCGTTATGCGTTATGTTGTGTTTAATATTAATCTCTCATGAACTAAAGCCTACGTAACTTACAACGCATTAATAAAATTACAACAATTAAACATTATGTTACGATTTTCTTTGTACATTAATATATATAGCTTATTTACTATTATGTACAGATCAACTTCAGTACTTAACGTAATGCGTTACGGATGTTCTTGTGTAGAGAACCTAAATTGCATCATCCTCGTAAAAATAGCGATTTCTTTTTTCTTTTAAATGTAACGCTAGATGATCAAATATCAAGGTGACTTCGAGATAATAGTAGAATCAACGCTTGCACTGCCTTTCCTATTCATTAGTGTAATATCAAATGTGACGATCTCTTTAGCGTGGACACTATGAAATATATTACTGCGTACACGTGCATATTGCTGTTAACTATCATGAATCTTAAAGAAGTAGACTAAAAAGAAGGTATGTCGTTAATTGAACTCACTCTTGCTGGTCGAGAGTTGTAGTCTAGTAAGATATTTGAAAAGACATGTACGAGTTATTTAGACATTCTCGAGAAAATATCATAATTATTTTAAAGAGAACTTACAGGCTCGTGCTTGCAGCAGCGCGTGAACGAATTGATGATTTAGAAATTAATCGAACCTTGCGTATGGTTTAATTTTTAATATACAAAGTATTAATTTCTGATATCTTTTATTAATTCTTTTCAATAGGAGAAAAAACTTGATTTTATTTTTCTTTCATATTGTATTTTTACAAAATATTAATACAAAAAAATTAATTCTGTGCATATCTTCGTAGATATAACCAAAATTATAAGATATCAATAAGTGCAATTGAAATATTATATCTGCTACTATCTGTTTATACAATTTTAATGCTTATCAAATATAAACTCAGAAAGAAAAAAGCACTAGGAGTTAAGCGCAGATAACTTTACGCAAACGCTGATATCTATATATCAAGCAAAATTTATTTATTTTAATAATTGTGCTTACATGTGATTAATATCAGATTTTATTTCTTTATAGTTGTAGGGGAGCTCACTGTGATTAAACATCACTTGATTCTTTTCATTATTTTTTATTTATAATTTATTTATGTAATTTGCATTGTCTCTGAAGAAGGCTAAAAAATGAGCCAAAACATATAAACACAATTATTATAATAAATAAGTTTTGCTTGATATATATTAGAGTTTGCATAAAGTTATCTGCGCTTAATTCCTAGTGTCCTTTCCTTTCCAAGTTTATATTTGAATTGTACAAGAGTTTTTGTTATTTAAAAATTATTATACGTTTTAATGCTTATAATAGCTGAAAAGCTTATATCATACTACGCATTGGAGGTTGAAAATTGCAAATTAAATGTTAGAATTCGATCAATCAGATAATTTTAATTTTAATCCACTTTATACTGACTAGTTGAAAAATTTGATTTTTAATTAGTAATTTTCAATTCGCGTAATTTGATATAAGCTTAATACTATCATAATAATTATATGGCAATAATTTTGTTTTAAATTATTACAAAATTATGTATATTCAAAATAAAAATTTTTTACTTGTTTTAATAAAAGAAACAATTAAGAACATTTATTATAATGATATTAATCTCTACAATTGCGTGACTGTATATGCCTGTTCGTTCACATATTTTTGCAGATTGGCTATAAACAATTATTATCGAGATCAAGAGAATATAAAAAAAAGTACAAAATAATAATTATAAGCAATAATGTGAATACACACATATATATATATTTATAATATATATATATAAACATATCCGAATATATTTGCAAATAAAAATTATAAAAATTTTCATTGCATGAATCAAAAAGACTTACACAATATATACCATATATATATATATATACATGTATATATGTATATTTACGTGTATGTTTTATATTCATGTACATATATATATATATCTCGATACATTGATTACAATAATTATTATCTTTATATTTTTTCGAGTGCAATCTGCAAAAATAAAGAGCATCATATTATGCGAGAATCATTGTGAGTTCATAAACGCAAGACAGATCGGTACAAAGATATTGTATTAAAAAGTAAAAATAATACATAATACATACATATATGTACACACATATATTAGTACTGTGTTGTAAGATGATATTATGTACGCAGCCAGAAAATATAGGATGAATATTGATATATAATATATATTTATGGAAAATTCGTGTTGACAAATAAATTATGTATGAACAGTACATATGTTTCTTCTTATTTAAAATTTTGCTTCACAAATTATTTAACAAAGCATAGTGTAGTCTATAACTTATGAAACTGATTTTATTACAGTAATATCAGTAGTATCAATTATTGCCCGAACAATAAACCTAAAATTTTTATTTAATTACATATATGTGTTAAATATATTTTCTGTGTTTGTTTCACTGTATATAGTTAATTGATCTCGAGTAAATTATTGTTTTGTATTTGTGCTATATATATTTTTTCAGTACGTTATGAATTTACAAGAAAAGCAAAAATTTTGTTTGATTCCTATTTATTATCTTTGAAACAGATATTCAAAATGACGCAAAAGACTTATAGAAAAGAAACATTATTTTTAGCAAATATTTTTTGATAGTATGGTAGACATGATCCTATACGTTCTATTTAAGTTTATGACTTTTTTTAATTTTTTGATGAGTTCAGAAATGATAATTGATAGTTAAATTTAAAAGAGATATTTTTGAACATTTTTAAAAAAAATATGAAACATTTGTAAAAATTTTAATAAAAAATCGTATTTAGAATAAAACAAAAAACCTTACGATCAATATGCATTTGAGCATGCTTTGGATAGTCATTGGTTTTATTTTACAAAGAATTTTTTCTCTGTGGTTATAAATATAACATTACAACAAAAATATAAATTAAATAAAGTGTTGTAAAGTATAAATACAAAACTATATACAATAAATAAATATATATATATATATATATATATATATATATATATATATATATATATATATATATATATATATATATATATATATATATATATATATATATATATATATATATATATATATATATATATATATATATATATATATATATATATATATATATATATATATATATATATATATATATATATATATATATATATATATATATATATATATATATATATATATATATATATATATATATATATATATATATATATATATATATATATATATATATATATATATATATATATATATATATATATATATATATATATATATATATATATATATATATATATATATATATATATATATATATATATATATATATATATATATATATATATATATATATATATATATATATATATATATATATATATATATATATATATATATATATATATATATATATATATATATATATATATATATATATATATATATATATATATATATATATATATATATATATATATATATATATATATATATATATATATATATATATATATATATATATATATATATATATATATATATATATATATATATATATATATATATATATATATATATATATATATATATATATATATATATATATATATATATATATATATATATATATATATATATATATATATATATATATATATATATATATATATATATATATATATATATATATATATATATATATATATATATATATATATATATATATATATATATATATATATATATATATATATATATATATATATATATATATATATATATATATATATATATATATATATATATATATATATATATATATATATATATATATATATATATATATATATATATATATATATATATATATATATATATATATATATATATATATATATATATATATATATATATATATATATATATATATATATATATATATATATATATATATATATATATATATATATATATATATATATATATATATATATATATATATATATATATATATATATATATATATATATATATATATATATATATATATATATATATATATATATATATATATATATATATATATATATATATATATATATATATATATATATATATATACCATTACAAATGGTGACACAAATGTGACGTAGCATATCTTTATTGGCAATTAAATCTTTATAAATTAAAAAATCTTTAAGTATACAAAGTTTTCTATAAAACCTTCAAGTGTCACTATAGATAAAAATCTATACAATTTAAATAGATCGCAGTACTATGGGAGCCATGCAGCTATATCTCAATAACAATGAATTTGAGGACATGTTCTCTATTATAAATTAAATACATATGCATTACTTACAAAAGAACAGAAAATATTTTAGAGTTAAAAAAATTTTTAAATATATGTACATATATAAAATTCTAAATTTTAGTGTTTAAAATAATAAAGTTAGTAATTATAATAAACAGCAAAATGTGTTTGATAATTTCTGTAAATAAAACAATGCTTACGATGCAAATATTTGTATATTGTTTTATTTTTTAACGTGTATATATATATTCCAGAGAAACAAATGAATATAATACAATCTTGGTAGTCTAAAGGCTTAAAACATTCACACGGAATGCCAGAGATCCGGGTTTGACTGGTTCGACTTTTCGCAATATAAATTAATTATTTATAGATTTTTAATATGTCATTCATAGATTATAATATTTTCAACGTTATTAACATCCAAAATACTATGAGCATCAAAAATTGTTAAATTGTTAGTTAATTTAATTCGTGATAGTATTGTAGTAGTTTATTAGAGTTTGTGTTGTAAGTCTGAAAAAAATTTCGGTGCGTCTTTAAGAATCTATAATACATACGTATATAGTATACATAAATTCACACGAAATTATAAATTAGAAGCATTCAAAATCTAGTTTGACCATTACGGCATGTTCTCATCGGTACATAGAATTAAAATTTATATTTTTTAAGTGTAAAATAGTATTATATATATATATATGGACTACACACACAAATAACTATATATATATACACATACATATATATACATATATATACTTTTTTAGCTATTTCTTTAGCCATTTTCCTCAGCGCTTTTGATTTAGCTATCTTCATTGCCACTTTAGCCGCTTGGAGCTTAATATGAAAAGTTTATCCATTAATACTAATCTATTATCAAGAATAATTTTTTAAATGTAAAATATTATTTAATAAATATATTGTTGGACAACTTACTGCAATTCTGCGCGCTATCGCACCCTATAAAAAAAGAAATAATTCCGTTTATATAACAAATAAAAAAATATACGCTAAATGTTTCTCTGATTAATATTTAAAAAATGTATCTTATATAAAGGAAACTTATAAAAATAAAATTTTAAAAAAAATACGAAAGAAAGAAAAGGATAAAATTTTTCATATTTTGCTAAATTAAAAAAAATTCTAACTATTATACAATATAACAGAATTTAATTATAAAAATTGCTTACGATAGGGCCAAATGAATCGGCTTCACCGATTGCGTCGGCTTCACCGATTGCGTCGGCTTCACCGATTGCGTCGGCTTCAGAAAGAGCTATTGATTTTGCTACGGAATCATCGATGATCATCATAACAAAGATTATGACAAGAACTAACAATAGATATGTTAGCCGCATTTTTTAATATTTATTAAATTTCAAGATACGTTCACCTGTGCGTATATTTCTGATTTCTCGGCGACGTGTAGAGCTTATATAGCACAAGAAATGTGATCTAAATATTATTTTCGTGTTTAATACGGAAGTACTTATATTTTACATTGCTATTTATAAATGTTTAATATATATATATATATTATATGCATAATCATAACATTTTTATCTTACGTGACAAAAATATGAAATATTAAAATATAAAATTACAGATATAAAATTATTAAACTGTAGAGTATGATGTACTGTGTATATAAATAGATACATTATATCAGAGAATGGATGTAACTAATTATTTGTAACAAAGTTACAACAACAAATTACTTTTCGGATAACTTTACTAATAACTGTGTTACTTTTCTTTTTTGATAACTCGGTTTTTTTTATAACAGTGGTAACGTAGTTATATTTTTTTGGTAACGATAACGAATTTTATATTTATTTTTATCGTTACGTAACACACGCGATAGCATACAGTTCAATGGGAATTATTAGATAGATGTCTCAGTTTGTTGCATATTTTACATATTTCAAAATTATAAATATAAAGGTCAACATTATTACTTTTAGAAGATAAAATCGTGTCATTTAAGTCAGTATGACTGTGTTTCGAGTAGATAAATGTTTTGAGCTTGCTTCTTCAACGACTTAATATTACGTGTATATTTTTGTACACCTGATGGATAGTGTTATTTCGTCGCATACAATTTTAATGTGATTGAAAATTTCGGTGATTGAAAATTTAGTGAGAGATGAGACATTATAGATTTAATTGTCAAATTTAACTCAATTTGAACCGTTTTTTAATTTAATTTAACCGAATTCAATTCAATTTAATTTAATTTGGATTGAAACCAATTAAATCCAAAAAAAGTTTTCCCTATTTAAAATTCAGAGAGATAAAATTTCAATCTATTTTAATCCATGTTGTTTACTGGGAACATATTTGGAAAATTATTGTTTTATCTTCTTCTAACATTTTTTATTTGTTGTACATTCAACATGAGAATCTTTAAAAAGTAGTAGATCTACATAATCTAATGTATACATTTAAATTATGTATAATTCTAGTAGCACAATTTATTATACAATATTAGTCCTTGATTGGTTCAATATAGCTTCAACGTTTAAACAAGTATATCGTTAATAAATTGCTAATAGGAGATTCGCACACATTCTCTTCATTATTAAAAAAAAAATATATAACATAAAACAGTATAAATATGAAGAGGACAAAGAGCCAAGTAATTTAAATAATAACTTTAATTCAAATAATCATGATATGAACATGACAAAAACAAACGTTTTGACTTCGGGTTCATTTTCAATATAAGTACTAAGATAACGCTTGTTATTTTTTCAAAATGACAAAAATAAGATATTGAATTTCGGTATTATAAGCAAGCAATCGATGACAGTTGACAAACTTTATTATAATAATTTCACAATTTAAAATTTAAAGCGAAACGTTTCGACTCTTACTGTAGTCTTCTTCAGTCTCAATAATATATACAACCATTAATATAAGTAAATATAACAATTTAAAACAGTAATTATAAAATACAAAGTCAATTAGTCAAATGTTCTCTCTTAGTCAAATTGTAAATTGAAGGAAAAAAAACCATTTCATAAAGCTGTATCCACATCATGATTCTATGGAACTATTAATCAAATATTAGGCAATTAAAATTGAAGGTAAAACACTTCAACTCTCATCCCTCCTTCCCCCTGTGCAAGGGCACACGACTTCCATGGTAAATATCTAGAAAAAGGGAAGCATTTACTTTGTTTGTAAAGTACTGAATGTTGCGAAGTGTATGCGTGGATGCAGAGGGTTCCCCAGAAGGGTGATACCTTTGCAATTCATGGTTAGCGCATAAAGAATTGAATGACACCAATAGAATCATCTGCGCTGGCTATGCGGATGGAGGAAAAGATACATGCCAAGTAAATTATCTAAAATCTAAACAATTAAAATTTGTACATTCTCCTTAGATTATAAAAATATTACGTATGTTACACAAATTAAGAATTTTATTTTTTTAATATAATTTTATAAAACTAGAGTATATTTTATTATTCAAACTGCATTATATTAATTTTTGAATCACCTTAAATATCGCATCGGTAAAATATCATTAAAATATCTAATTGTGTATTTGTATATGTGTAAGAAATTAGTTTTTACAATAAGTTGATCTCAAAACTTTTATATCTGAAAAATATGTCACGTTATTTCTATATTTGCTAGTATAATTTTCGCAAATAAATATGACAATAATTATGAATTATTAATTTTTTTTAAGGGCGATTCTGGAGGACCTTTGTTATGTCAAGATAAAGAAGATAAGGATAAATGGTTCGTTGTCGGAATTGTCAGTTGGGGCATAAAATGCGCCCATCCAAACGGGGTTAATAGTAACATCTACGAAATATAATAAAATCTAAAATTATATATAGTTAAAAGAAAAATATCTTTTACATCTGTATAATATTTTAAGTCTAAGAAATCATAGTTTAAAACTAACTATTCATAATTTATTAATTTC